ACATTAATCTTGACTATTGGATGGCTACAATTTATCTATAGACCAAGCTCAAATGAAATTTTATCAAACTTTATGATGCATCCAAGCTATCAAATTTTACATCGGATAATTGCAAGTAATTGTGATCATCTTACATCAAAGGTAAAAATGGTTTTATTGTATATAATCCCTTGTAACATATTACGTAAACTGTATACTTTCAAGTTTTTTTTAATTATTTATAAATTTGTTCAATCTACACCGTCATATAATTAAGGTTGACAATATATTTTCATAGCAAGGTTCTCTGGCACTGGAATGCATTGAGTAGGCAACACCTAGATAGAGAGAGAGAGAGGTGTTGCTATCACTATCGCAAATAGGGTTGTCTAGGACGTGGGCAAAAAATCCAATATTCCCCTGAAACATCTATTCAACTCTTAATTATAAATTCATTTATTTTCTATAAAATATACAAAAATAAAAAAATATAAACAATTTTGAAAAATACCAAAAAATGAGGAGTTTTCGTTTAGATTATAACTAGCATAAAGTAATTATAAGAAGTTCTAATGAGTGCAATGTTTAGATACCTGTTATTTACTTTATGATTTATAAAATATGCATTATTTTATTAAATAAAGAACTTAGCATCATTGGGCGCGAAGTTTTTATTAAAAGAAAAGTTAATATAAGGTTACTTTACTAATCCTATAGACGGTGGACTTTAAAAATCTAATAGAAAAAAATGTTCCAAAGTTGGAAAGCTTTTTAATTAATTATTTCGACCTCTAAATGTATGGATATATAAAAATAAAAATAAATAATAAATAAATAAAAATCAAACTTTAAAAATAGTGTATTTAATATCAAGTTTTCAAGACCGTCTATTTTTTAAAAATTTAAGTGTTTGTAGATCTACATAATTTGTAATGTTTTTGGAATTTAAAATGTCATAATTAAGGTTGAACATTGATTTTCAAGCCGTCATAAGGTTTTCGAGGCTGAAACCACATCTTCCAACCAAATTTAGAGGCGCACCTTACTTGTAGAGTATAAGGTGGGCACCTTATTTAAACCTCACCCTAAACCTTATTTCACCTATTCTCTGCTAGGGTTTCCTAGCCGCTGCCAAGAGATCCACCACCGACCAAGCCATAAAAGACAGTAGTCACCTTCGTCTAGCAACTTAAGCATCCACCACAACCATAGCCGAGGAGCAGTAGCAACCTCCACCACCGCCCTGTTGTAGTTGCCACCATCAATACCCTGCGAGACGAAGCATCGGCCCTGTCTGATCCCTCCTTTGAGCTAGATCTAGCCTCTTGTGGGCCAAATCTAGACTTCGGCAAGTGGGATATTGTTTCCTTTTCTCTTTCCCCCCTCGCCTCTCTCTTTCTCTCTCTCTCTCTTCCCAAAGGTTAGGTTTTCCAAGCCTTTGCCATAAGCCTTCTTCAACTATTACTTTGCCCCCGTCTCCCTCTTCTCATGTCGTCTCTTCTTCTCATCTCTTCCCATCTCCAACCTTTCCTTCTTTCCATCTCTTCCATCTCCAACCTTCATCCTTGATCATCCTACTCTCCTGCTCTCTTTCTCTTTTTCTTGACTTTCATCTCATCTAGATACGCTAACCCCTAAGATGGGGTTTTCTCTTTTATGGGGATGCTTTTTGGGGATTTGAGACCATGTCGCCCCCTATCTCCCTGTTTAGGTTTTATGTGGTTAATATCAAAGACAAGATAGGTCTTCTTGAGGGCCACCTTTTCCCCAGTCATAGAGGATTTTGCTTCTTGTGGTTAATGTCCATGACAGGATTGGCCTTGCTGAAGGCCACTTTCTCTATCGTGGAGGAATTTTTTTCCATTTGGGAAGTGAGATCTCCATTTGTGGCCTATTCAGTTTCCTAGAATGAGTTGTCAACAGCCTCTTTCTCCATCTTTTTGTCTTGGTTCTTTGTCTGCCCCCCTTTGGTTTCTCTTCCCTTCCTCTTCCCTCGAGCTCTATGTTTTATACCCATTTTTTGGCTACTAGTTTAGTCATCGACATTTAGACGTTGCCATTTTGGCACAATCTGGGTGGCGCCCCAACTCCGGCATGTGTGCTTCCTGTAGAAGGGATGATGATGCTTTGGTATGTTTTCGAGTTGGTGAGGCTTGGGCTCAGGAACTTGAGTGGAATAGGCTTCCTTACTGGTCGGTGAGTTTTCCAAGCTTTTGGATGGAGTAGGTTCTTCGATTTTTAGTGATTGTTCGTATCTCGGGAGTTTTGGTTGATCTTGCTTTGAAGTAGGGTTTCTCACCTTATTTTTCCTCTCTGTAATTGTAATACTGGAGTTTATCTCCTTATATTAATGAATAGTTACTCAACTTGTTTCCAATAAAAAAACTCAAGACATATGTCTTATTTCACAAAAAAACCAAAATAAGAAGGCATATATAACAATTATGGTTGGTCACAAAAAAACCAAAATAAAAAGGCATACATAACAATTATGGTTGGTCACAAAAAAACCAAAATAAGTAGGCATATATAACAATTATGGTTGGTAAGGCTTGTGGAAGGGAGGACTTCATCTCACCCGGGTACGGGAGTGCGGTGGGCTTTGAGTTGGCATATTGATGCATCTGTAGCTGTATAGGTAAGGCATACCTTCAAATTTTATCATGGTATATAATTTTGATGTAAAAGGTTTTTAGGATTATCTCAAAATCTACTTTTATATCTAATTATAAAATTTTAAATTTCAAAAATGATTAAAATCAAGTAGATTTATAAACATATGAAAATTTTGAAAATGGACGGTGTAGATAATATGTTGTAAAATACACTATTTTTTAGACTTAAAATTTTTTGTATTTTTCATGGTCATACATCTTGATGCCGAGATGATCAATCAAGGTTTTTTCAAAATTAAAATTACCTTTTCCGATGGATTTTTGAGGTGCATCCGTAGTTCTAGGTTGCATCCTTATATAAATTTTTTCCATAAGACAAAACAAGGCAAGTTTTCTATGCTTTCCCTACAGCATAAAACTTATATACTTCTCCTTATCCAACTGTCCATTCTGAATGGAGGGCTAAGATTGCTCAAATCACAATGTCACGTCTCTACATTATTTTATTTTTAATTTTTTTTCTATAAACTATTTTGACACCAAATTTTGGACGTCCAATCCTCTATTAAACTCACACTAGAAAAAGATAAAAAAAATATTTTCAATAAAATAAAATAACCAAAATACCCCTGAAAGTTTTAAGGGGTAGTTTGGTCATTATATTTTATCAAAAAATTATTTTTAATATTTTTTATAGGTGCGCCTCAATGAGAAGATGACACGTACCAAATTTCATATTCAGAAAATTTGTATAAAAATAAACTAAAAATAAAATACTGTTAGATGTCGGATTTAAGATCAAATGGTGAGTGACTCTCTTTATCAAAACTTGACAGCTGGATGGTAAGGGAAGCATAGATCTTCTATGTTATAGGGAAAGTATAGATACCTTTTCCTAAAAAAAAAAAAGCATATCTAGCAACAAAGGGTGGTAGCTCAAGGGATTTGAGTTTATTAAAAAATGACCTTTAGAGATATATGATTAGAAAAATGAAAAGGACTTTGTTATCCTAGCCATTAGATGTCTTTGTGTATGTAACGAAGTTCGAGAAATATTTTTTTAACTTGAGTCTAGTAAGTGATACTCTTACAACCACACGATTTGAAATATGATGGATAAAAGCGATTGTGATCTCGTTGTACAAAAAATAAA